AGCACAACAGCAGAATTGGTTTCATGTAAAAAAAAAAAAAAAAAGTATAGGTATGTACACAAAGAACATCAGAAAAACCATTGTAATATCATCTACATTAATGGCAGATTAACAGAAAGGGAGCTAGTCTCTTTCCCACAGCATGCTCTACTGTGCTTAAAAGGTACGGTGAAAGGTGGAACGTGAGTCAAGACTTCATCATTAAGTTCTTGACCCTACACTGACTCTGGCTCCTGGACAAGTTACCTCACCCCTCCAGGCTTCAGTCTTTCCTCCTGCAAACTGGGTACAATAGTATTTATTTACTTTGACTCAAGGCTTTTGGGAGACTACTGCTCTTATATACAGAAAGCCCTATATAGTACAAGAATCATCCTGCTTAGAGATGATTCTAGGTAACACCAGTTCCTGTTTGTGCCCATCCAACAACCCAGCTCTAAATAAGGATTTCTGCGCAGGTCCAGAACACTAGCAATCCAAACTCAAATTCAGAAAAGTGAAAATCAGTATAAAACCTATAAAACTACCCGACCTGCATTTAATCAGCAACTATAATTTGTGCTGAAGTTAGAAGTAGGTGGCCAAGTTATTGGCCTTTATAAACTACAGGTACTCTTCACTTAACATCATCCCGGTTAGCATTTCATTATTACGTCACGGATCTATTGAAGAACATACTTATTTAAAGTCACGCAATGTTGGGTTATAATGTTGCTTGGCCGCCGCCTACAAGTAGGTAACTACTGTGATGTAACTGGATTCGCTTAACACGGTTTTACTTAAAGTTGCATTTTTCAAGAATGTAACTAAAACGTTAAGTGATGAGTAGCCGTACACTTGGTACCTTTCATAGCATCTACCACATTACAGTGCAGCAATGTGGAGAAATAAGCCCATCTCACAGATGTGCACAGAGAAGTTAAGGGACTTGCCCAAGGTCCCAATTCCCAGTACATTAAGCTCCCTCCCATGACACCCTTCTTCCAGTTCAGGTGAGATCAATAAACTAATTTCAGTTGTCAACTATACGATCCTTATGGGTTAAAAATTTAAAAAGTCCCCACAGAAAATGATGCAATTTGATGTTATTTAGCAGCCTCTGCATAGGAAAGGCCCATGATGCCCATTACTTTGACTTGCTTTGTCGGATCTGTGTGAGGACTCGTGTCACGAACAGCAGCAGCCAGAGATGCCACACACCAGGTTTCTGATGCCATGGCAAAAAGATGTGGTGTTTTGCAAGCTACCTTCTCTCAAACGAGCTTCTTGCTGACAGCTAACAGCCCTTTCAGGCCAGTATTCAGATTTCTTCTACAATAATGAAAAAAGACTGATAAAACAGGTTGGAGAGGACTCACCAGAACATTTCCCTTTGTTTCATGCAAGAAGTGCAGTGCCAGCTCCTGATTTGTACCAGCCCCAGGAAAAATACTGGAACAGGCAGCAGCTAACAGATTTTCCACTATTCCAGGTAAATGACAAAGAAAAAAAAAAAGAAATAAGTGAGGTACAGTGGAAGAAGCAGGAGATTAGAAGTAAGAATTTGAGAAGCTGTTGCTGTTTTTTCCTCTTCAATAAGCTTGGTTGAGGATCTCAGTATTGTTTTTGGCCAGCTAATACCCACTTACATCTTGGGTAACAGTTCCATTGTATCCCAATTAGTCCTTTTAAACTTGAACTAGAAATAACCTAGGGTCAGACAAACTTGGAACTCAAACTCCTCACTCCAAGGGAGTTTAGTGCCCGCAGATCATGTTGTGACAGAACAGAAGGTTGAGAAGGGCACATGAGAGCGCCAATACTGAATGTAGCTCTAAAAGAGATTACCCTTTTGCCCTACAAGAAGCATTCCCTGTAGATTTGCACTGAGCACCAAAGGTGACAGAATTCCAATCAGAACGACCACTGGCACACAACTTTTCCTTTCCACCAGGAAAGGATGGTCCAGAGCTACTGCTACAGCTAGTGAAAAAACCCAGAATTTAGCAAGCCGAATTCCTTTTCTCAGCCCAGCAATCAGGTCCAGTTTCATGCTCACTTGATAGCACAGTGCAAGGGAACACACACAGATGAACATGAACTGGAAGTCCTGTCCCAAACAAGGAAGGTTAGGGCTCCTTTAAGCACTCAATCCCCAGTCTGTACAGCCATGTAGTTTGTATACCCATAGGTCCCTCAACGGTTCAGAAATTTGACAGTGAGGGAGTAGCAGCAGTTAACAGTCCCATATACCAGACCCACAGATTGGAACTGGTCCATGGATGGACCTGGGACCACTCATCCAGCCTACAAGTCAAAAAGGTCAGCCACCACTGCTTTAGAGCATGAGTAAGGTACATCAGCATTTATTACCTCATGTTTACTCTTTTTCCTTCATCTTCCCTTCCCCAAGATAAAGCAATTTCCACACAGGTCAGAGATATTTACTGAAAACATCTCTGTCACCATCTTTTGCATATACTTTTTTGCTTCTTTGCTACATCTCAGTGATTGATGCAACAGTTGCAAATTAAAGCCATGGAAATTCAAATTAAAAATACAGCACTTGTTTTTAACAGTAAAAGAGGGGGAATACAGCTAAGGCAGACCAAGATCTCGAACCCAGAACCTTGCACAGGAAGGCCAGCAAGCCTGCCACAGCACCACAGCCACAGGCTTTTTTAAAATTGGTATAAACTACAACAAGGATTAGTAGATTCTTCATCTCTTGATGACCTCAAATTTACTTTCAGGAAACTCAAGTGGTCAGGCTTATCACAAGAGTAACTGCATGAAATTCTATTGCTTATGCTATATAAATGATCATGCTAAATTAGGGTAAAAGGTCAAACCATTCCTTCCACAGGTCATGAGCACATTGCACTGGGAGTTCAGCGTACTCTTACACCCAACCACTTGCTTCCATTTCAGGAATTCCCTAGTCTCCCTCCTCCTATGCAACAGTCTCTATGCACATCCCCCATTCTCCAGAAAGGCAGGAATCCATGTATTTCCTATTCCGCCACGTCAGGGTCTCCCATTCTGCCCCCTTCAACAGGTTCTATATAACCACTTCCTCTCCCTTCCCCACGCCCACCATTTCTCCCATGCCCCCACCTCCTCCCCATTCCAGGTATCGTGCATGCCTGACCAACCTGCGGCCCCAAAATTCCCCATGCTAAGGCCTCCATGTCTCCCATCCATATTTATTTTCTGTCTGTCTGGGAAAGATATCATTCAGGATGGCAGCCTTTCTATGCAATAAGGAAGGGGTTGACCTGAGCGATAGTGATCTGTAAGATGTTGCTAGCTGTCCTCAGTCTTCTCAATGCATCCCCCTTTCAGTATTTCCAGTTTTCATCAAAACCAGTAAGGTTCTACTTACCAATGCCTGAAACATTCTGTAAGATTCTGGAGTTGGTTAACTGTGGCATTCAAAGTTACTGGGGTGTTTCTCTGTCCAAAAATGCAGCAAATTAAGCTAAAAGTTCATTTTTCTTGGGCAATGATCTAATGGTCCTGTCTGACCTTTAAGAAGTCTACAAATACTAGTTCTCCATTATTTTCCAGAAGGCTTTTCCAACAAGGATTAGTAAAACCTGACATTTGATCAGGAGTGTGGAGCACCTTTAAACAGCACTTAAAGAGTTACACCCCAACACTGCTGCCATTTCTTGTTTTGGTCTATATTACCAACTTCCCCAGGTCCTTACCATTTTCTTGGTTAGTTTTGTTGATTTCAAGATCTCCCCAAGGCCACCACACCAAGTCTGCCTTATGTTTATCACCTTCTGCCAAAGATCTCTCTCGGAGGAATGGGATTTCTGCTTGAAACCGAGTTCCCACATTGATTCGCCTGCATAAATAAATAAAAAACATAAATAAATAGACCACAAACACTCAACAATAGCCAGAAAGCACCTCTATGAATGACACTGACTCTTGTGGAAATCAAAACTTAGTGAGCGTACTCTACAGGTGTAAGTCGAGAACAACTTTCAACTGCTACAACTGGGATTTAAGTTAGTGACCAACAGGTGAAAGACTCAATGTCCTGCTGCCACCTTTGGCTGAGGTTCTACTGCATTTCCTTGAAGAGGCTGAGAAGGTGAATTCATTCCTCTTCCATCAGTGGAGCAAGCCAGTGCAGAGTTCTCAACCAGTCCCTGGCTCATACAAAGAGACTGTGAAAACAACTTGGTCAGTCTAACACCTCTGATCCCTACAACAGCTAAGGATTCCTGGCACCATTTCTGTGGCTAAATTGGCCAGTGATGAGGCAGCGTCTCAGTACTAAGGATGCTTATGATGGTGTGGATGAGTCTGTCTATGCCGTGTTAGTCATCAACACCATGGCAGCTGGTGCTGTGGAGTCCAACACTAGTTTTCTTCATGCCAGACAGTTACAAAGCTGTTCAGACTGGGTACATGTGGGTACCAGAAAAGAGAGTCTGCTGCTTGAGCAGTATCAGAAGCTGTGCTACAACTGTCAGTGTTAATTTTTGCCCCTGAGGTACTTGCATGTGGGTCAGCTTTGGAAGTCAGGGATACTGGAGTTGCAGGGAGATGTCTTCTGACTGGGAACGGAGAGCTGCAACTCCTCTGATCTCTGGGGCAACACTTCTTATAGTCCCCTTTCCTGGGTTAAGACCAAAAGTAGCAGGAGTTAAGTTTCCAAGTGTCCTATGAGCACAGGACATCTCGGCTCACCTGGAGGATGGCGACTGCTTGCCAGGGCCTACAGATACCTGCACAGTGGTCTCGTAAGCTGCATCAACTAATTTAATTCTCTAGTTTTTAAAGTGTGGTTCAGGATATAGTTGTACCTCAAAGAGATGCTCAAGCATGTGTTCTTCTCCTAGACATGAGGCATCTCAGATCTTTATTACTGATGGGCAATGCTTCATTTTTATTGCAGGCAAGTCGTCAGTGCTGGAGAATCATGTATGGGCCTAAAATGCACACACCAAGGGGATCTAGAACTTGTACAGGGAAGCATACGGGGGGCAAGCAATCCTATTAGAGGCATAAACCAGAAACTTGTTTTTCTTTAGCACTAATAGGGTTAATTAACAGTCTTTATATAAATCACTGGCTAACAAGCTACCTACCTAAACAACAACTCTATAAAACAATCTTTGCAAGTGAAATACAGAAACCACAGGTTCCATCTTGCAGACAGTAAGAAGGAAACAAAAGGAGGTTAAGATTGTCCCACAACTAATGCCTTGTGTTCTGGCAGTTACAAGGGCTGGCCCCCAGTGGATATTACCACTTAAAAAGAATTCAACCTCAAACACATGGGTCATATTTTCCTTGAGAGAAAAACCTACGTGGACAACATATCTTTAAAAAATATATTGCAACTTAGTCTAACTTTGAGGCTTAAGCTACTTATAACAGAATCAAGCTCTGATAGAAATCAAGAGCATTCAATCACATTAGAGTTTCTAGTAGTTTTCCCTTGCCTCTCCTAAGTAACTAGCTTGTGAGATAGAAGCAGTGCTACTGACGGAAAAGAGATAAGAGAGATCAGATGATAGGAGAAATGGAAGACACTGCTAAAAAAAAAAAAGAAAAAAGATTAAAACTTCCAAACAGTCTAAGCACAGCTGCTTACTGCACTCTTCCACACAGGAGCAGGATATTAGGTTAATATTTCCTACTCCAAATCTCAGTTGGAAGCAACTGCCACACAACGCTGACAAAAGGTTTGGGGAAAGAATACGTCCTTATGGTACATGGCAGTGTGTGGCTGCTGAGGCATCACCACACCTGAATTCTTTTCAAAGATAAACCAACAAGAGCATAGACATTTTAGGTGGACAGAAAGAAATGTCTGGCACAAGCCGAGTAGGTGGACTTTGTACAACTATATTGGACACTTACGGTTCAATGCTGACTGGCGTAGCTTCCCCCATTACTGAAAGGACAGGAGGAGTGACTTCTGAACTATCTGCAAGGCAAACAGAATTGCTTAGAGCTTATCAATTTTACATGCCTGCAGATTCATGAGCATATGAAAAGAACATAAGAGCATAGACTATCCATCAAACAATGCAGGTACTCTTCTCCCTTAGAGTATTAGGCAGGCTAGCAGAGAGAAAGGAAGAGGGCAAACTTTCATGCAGCAATTATCCCTTCCAATAAAAAGTCCTTCCTATTCGCCAAATGGTCAAATCTTATGATGGACAGGAATAATTTTTCCAAAACCAAGTCTACCTTTCAAAAGCCCTTGGAAGGCTCTGGAGCTCAATGGTAGGTGCATCTCAACTGGTGTCTCTAGGAAGCCGCAGCTTGATTTCCACTGTATCCCAGCTCCCCAGAATTATGCCAGCAAGAAGCTTGAGGTTACAATATCTATAATTAAGTTATGACTTTCTTTTTGTCACCCCCTAACCTCCTACCCCCAATTATCCATCCTTTCTCCTGTTAGAACTTACTAGATCTGAGTAGAGTTCTGTGAGCACTTTTTGGAGTTGCTGGAGGTGGAACTGTGTGGCCACTAGATGAGAGGATGGCATTAAAATAGAGCCCAGACCCTTCTCTCACTGGGCTAAGTATTGGTGGTGGAGTGTAAGGAGGTAGCTCAAAGTTCCTATCAGAAGGATGATCTGCTAGGCGGACAGGTGAGCGTAGGTGACTCTGATATGGAGTGATGTTGGAATAGACTGGAGGGGCAATGAAGGTGCCAGCTTTTGGCGGTATGAAAAGTGGCTCAGGTCTTGGGCGCTGCTTTGGCTTCCGGGCAAAGTTCTCTGCTTCATCCTTTGGAACAGCATCTTCAGACTACGAAAAGGAAACAACTTTTTTTACAATACAAAAATCAGCCAGGATGCATTTAGTTTTATGTATTTTAAAATATTTCAGTGTAATGACAACATGCTGACTTAGCAACTACACTGCAGGACAGGAGCTGGCTGAGACCGTGAAGGAAGAAATCAGTCGCACTGAATAGTGGAACAGAAGAGAAGTCCAAGAAACCTGTCTCAGGCTATCAAACATCTAACTGAGAGAGTCTTCCCAGAAGCTTATGAATTATATTCCACTTTAACAGACCACCAAAATTTTCCACAAATAGTCCTCCATCTCACCCAGCTAAACGAAAGAGTTGTAAAAGGGGTAGGCCTGGAGGGGAGAAAAAGTATCCACAGAATCTCAGTGAGGACAGAGAGACAGAGAGTGTAGGCTTTTGTCTTGGACTTACTCAGAACAGACACGGGCACACAGCCTTAAAACTCGAGGTTATCTGTATATGCATACTAAAAATGCTCCTCAGTTCAATGTATCAAACTCCTTCACTTGAACTTTACAACCAAATACCTAGGAATTAAACTCTATTGAGCTTTACCAACTATTTTTTGGGGCATTACTTGGCTATTTTGGTATAACTGTACGTCCAAAAAAGACAATAATTATCCAAAAGCAAGCCATCAGAGAGCAACAATGATATAAAAAGGTGCCTTAGGTACAAGATAGTTTTCTCTGGGTTACTTTCAGCTCAAAACCAAGTGACCCTTTCAGGCCTAAGGGACTTGCACTGCCTTGTCACAGTTTAAGCTGTTTCAGCAGAAAGGGATGAAGACTAAAATCAGGCATGTAGCAGATCAGAATCTCCTTTGGTCTTCCTAGTGTGCCCATACCTGGAGTGAGTTTTCCATGTTGGTACTGCGATTGGACCTTCTTCGGGTGACAATCACAGAGGGCTTGCGTTCAAAAGGACCTCGATCATTTGCCTGGACCCTCTGGAGTTTCCCTTCTTCACCCTTTTCCCTTCCGAAGTCCTGCAAATCAACTTTCCTCACTGGCACAGATACAGGAATGATAAGAGGCACAAGGTTGCTATCTTCCCGTGCTCTTTTGGAGGCTGGTGAAGAGCTGGCAAATTCCACAACGCTTTTTGCTGCTGGTGGTTCTGCTGCTGCTGCTGCGCTCTTCTTCTCTTCTGATGTATCCAACTCCTGAAGGGGAAAAAAAAAATCCACATATACCTTAAATGATCCAAGACTTTCAAATCAAACCATCTCTCACTTGAGTACACACCTCAAGTTTCTAAAATGTTCTCAACCTAACTTTGGAACTGGAAGTCACTGTAGTTCTAAGTACTTGGGGAAAAAGGATACCTGATTTGGCAGAAAAGTTATCACTGTATTTCACCCCATGTTAGGAACGGTACATTAAGCTACTTACTTCGAGTTTCATTCTTTCATCCATAGTTTTATATTTTGTTTTCTGGACCAAACTCTGCCTTTTATAGAAATTCTACACAAAGAATTATCCTTAATTACTTAGATGATAAAAATCTGCTTATTGCATATCATTTGTTTCAAGTGGCTTGATTTTTGGTCCCAATCACCAAATTGCAATTTGCCCATTTCCCTCAGCTTTCTTTGTCTCTCTCAGTTTCATCTTCCAGAGCACTAACCAGGCTTTTGTCCTGCGCTTTATCCATCAGAAAGAGAGAGTTTACTTTCCTTACAATAACATATGCACCTTCCGCGGCTTCAAGCTTGAAGACCTTTTGGTTAGCAGTAATCACATAGTGTATGCCATTCTTCATGCTTCACACCAAGGACTACTGAATTTCAGTTCTCTTTCAACCATGGACTCTCCAAAATGCTGGATTCCCAAGAACATCTCAGACGGATAGTGGATTGTACAATATGCATAAGAACACAACTCAGAAGAAACCCCAGTTGCTAGAAGGTACATAACTCCTCCCTCAAGTGACTGTCCACACATACACCCATTCCACTCTGTGCAACTCCAAAAGTGCTGTCCAAACTTTTTGGAGGTGTGATTATTGAGTTTTACGAGAACAGCATATGAAGCACCTCTTTACTAAATACAGCATGCAATCTGCAGGTTTCAGAGTTCATATAACGTGTCATGAATGTATGAACAGAGCTCCAGATGGCTGCTTTATAGATGTGCAGGGTGGATATATTTTTTTCTTTTTTTTAGCAATGCTGTGGATGTTGCTTGAATTCTGATGAAGTATGCACTGGTAGTTTTAAAGAGATTGCTGTACCTTTCGTTCTGTCTGCTATGGCAACAAAGAGCTGAGGAGGTGATCTGAACAGTTTTGGCCTTTGTAAAGAGAAGGCCAGGGCACATTTTACATGCAGAGATTGGAACAAGGACATTTTACAAAAGCATATTTGTTGCAAACACGTTTGGTAAAAATTTAAAGTTTGTCCTCAAGGACACCTCACCAAGGGGGGAAAAAGTAGAGAAATTCTAGGCCCTGGGCTTGGATCTCCTCCACTGAAGTGATAGCAGTCAAGGAGGCATCAGGGAAATGCATCTGAGAACAGGAGGTCATCAACTCAGGAAGCAGAACCCAGGGACCCTGGTAGCAGCAGTGGCCAGGCAGGAATCTGCAGGCCAGGTACAAACTCCTCACAGGCAGCCAGTTGGACAGTTCTGCCTAAGTCATGGCATTATCTGTCAATCTTTATCAATGTGTGCTCTAGGAAGGATTCAAAAAGTCACTGAAGATTGCCCTTACTTGCACATATGGCTAGAAAAAAAAAAAGTGTTCATTTCTCCAGGTACCCAAAATTGACACAGTCTCAGTCTTATTCAGGGCCTGTAAGGGAACATAGTTTACCTTTTATACTCCTGAAGTATGCTGCCACTACTGCATGCACTCAAATATACTCAGGGGTTAATGACAAGACACAGGAAAAAAAAAAAAAAGATCTTGTAACTATTAATGATCTTAGCACAAACCTCAGTTACATCATGAGTGGGGGTATGATGGAAATGGGGAAGCAGATAACCTGAGATGAAGAGATGAGAATCAATTCCCACAATTCTGGAAGAGGCGGTATAATGGCTGGCAATGCCACCTTTCACTTCAGCTTGTAGATCAGAACAAGAGGTAACAGCAACCCTTCCTTTGAGGAATCAGGATTAAAAAGGTGTCTGCTGCTTTCCTCAGTGATGATGACTGAGAAATCAAACACAAGAGATCCTTGTTTTAACAGGGCTTCATGACAAGAGGCCCTGAAGAGACGGAAAAGCAGATTGGGAGCAGGCACCAAGAACCAGACTGTCCAAGACCCACCAGGTCAATAGTGACACAGGTCCATACATGCCTAAAGTGGATCAAGAAGTTCCCAAAGGGAGAGGGAGGATGCCGGCACACAGTAATCAATTCTGGAATCACATGTTGGTTTGCATATTGCATTCATCTGTAGTAGTAGCCCTTTTGTTGTTGTTTTTCCAAGGTGTCTCAGAAGATGTGAGGTAGAAGGGGAAACTGCTGGGTTAGCCCCTGAAGGGGAAAAAAAACCACTGTGTGACAAGCTTCCTTTGAAGCACTGGGATATGAACACTTAGGGCAGTGATTCTCAACCTTTTTGGACTTGAGGTACCCCTTCACAACTTTTGGAAATCCAGTGGCACCCAATTTCAAAAACTAATTTATATATTACAGTGCTTATCACCTTACACAAGGGCTGGGCAGTAGGGATGGGGAGGAAGGGGGAAATCATCGAAGTAGGGACAAGCACGAGCCTGGTTTCTCCTTACACCTTGTGACACCCTTAAAAGGATCTGGCAATCCCTGGTTGAGAACCACAGACTTAGGGAATGTTATCCTAGGCCCTTTTCAGTGGTGAACAGCTCCGTTTCCTCAAATGGCAGGTCTTCCACAAGGACCTTCTTCCTTGGTGTTTCCCCAAGGATGCCTGATCCTTGCAGCCAGGATGACTGCATCATAACCACTACTGCAGTCAAACACGAAACCATGCTGGCCATTTCTAGAACCACGTGAAAACTGGTCCGGGCCATCATCTGACCTGACAGAAGCATAAAATACTCCTCCCTGGAGTCAGATGGCAGCTTGTCCGTGAAACAACTTGTGACCCGTGTGTCACCTATCTCAGAGCAAGGCTTGATATTAGTGACCCTGAATTGCAAATTCACAAAGTATGCCTTACAGTATAATAAATTCAGTATCTGTTACAAATTTAGGCTGGGAATTAGAAGGAACTTTCTAATAGTAAGAGGAGTGAACTTTTGAAGTCCTGATTGCTGATAATGTTTCAGAGTTGTCTTCCTCTAGGTATCCCTCTGGAAGGGGATGTGGCTGGCATCAATACCCCAGTGGGGATTGCTGTCATGAGTTTCTCTTTCATTACCAATGCAGTCAAGACAACTACTGATGAAGCTAGGCTCTGGAAGAAAAAGTAAAAGTCTTCTGCATCACTGTAGCATCAGTCCCTTAGCTTGACACTTTGGTGGCAGGTTGTTGGCACCACGATGCATGAGGTAGACTGGGAAGCACTCGTGGATAGAAAAAAAAAAATCCTGGTAGAGGGCAGGGGTGGATATCTCCTTCCAAGCAACCTTTTCATGAAAAATGAATCCTTCAAGCCTCCCCTACCCTTTACCTCAGATGGGATTTTCCTGCCTGTCTTTAATGCTGAAGATCTAAGACAGGGAGTCTGCACCAGAGAGCAGGTTCTCCTCAATCCAAAGGCAGGTCCACCAACTGGCTTAAGAGAGTCTTCGTCCCATTGTTCATGAGGATTTGGGGGGAATAAATGCTTCATCCATAAATCTTTTATCTGGGATGCAGGATTTTCCAAAGCAGCAGAGGCACTTAGGGTTCATATTCCTTGAGACAGCCTCAATACATAAGCAGTAAAAGTTAAATGAAAGAAGCCTCAAGACCAACATTCTGGGTTCAAGTACTACTATTCAATTCTTCTTTAAAGAAATTAACAGGTTGCCAGTAAAGTGACTAGAAAAACAAGTTCTACTGACCTAAGGGGTTAAACTAAGGTTAAAAGAATTTGTCACCTGGGTGTCTGTAAGGTGATGGAAAGCAGCTCTGCCCTGAACTGAGAGGGCTGATCAGAACTGAAGTGAAGGAGGCACATTCTACCTATTATGCCCCTGATGTGCAGCATGAGATGAGGTAAGGCACATGGGTAAGATGGGTGCTTTTGGTCCAAGTTATTTGAGTTTGGGTACAAATATCTGAAGAAGAATATATCTTATTTAAATGGTTTAACGCAACTCTTCTTACAGAAGCTAGAGTGTCCTTTAAGTGATCTGTATTCAGTAAGTTATTATTTCTGCACAATTCTGATCAATGGAAAGGCAAAAACATTGGCACCAGCAGCTTGTAGTGTAGGATGAAAAGGCACAGGAAGAAGAGGGAGTGAGAACAATTCTCCTCCCACACACGCCATCCCTCTCACATGTATATTATCTACACATCTTTTTTTAATTCTCTCAGAAACAAAGGACTTGGGTGAAAACTTTAATCATTCAGGCTGAGAATCTTTCACAGCTGTCAGAGATTTGGGTGTATAGAATCCTTTTCATTAGGGAAATAAAAAAAAAACCAAACTCTGAATGGTCTTTTCTTTCCAATAAACAATGTCACAAGTGGCTGCAGACAGACACGCCTAAGTACAAGAGATTCTTGATTCAAGTCTCAAGTTCTATTTGAAGGTACAGTAGAGATGTACCTTTTGCAGACAAGTGATTCTCAGCCAGAGTGCCATGGTACCCCGGGGTGCCTTGAGAACCTTGTCAAGGGTGCCGTGGCCTGTCACACAATGCGAGCACTGTTAAATTTGCAATCACGATTCAAAAATAAACCCAGAAGTTTCACATAGGAACCATGGTGCTAGAAAACAAATATTCTGACCTGTTGTGGTCTGACTTCTTGGCAACAGAAGAATTGTACTATTTCTTTTCACTCATTTTTGATTACAGAAAAAAATAAGAGCTAGCATTTTGCAAGGGGTACCTTGAATCTAAAACAGTTGAGAACAACTGCTATTGATTAAATGAATCAGAGATGCATAAACTAGCATGAGCAAGAACTCATTCCATCAGCCATCATATGCGATGCTGTAATATAAGTTCTTGCTCACACTAGCCTATGAATTTCCAATTCAGTTAGTCTGCAAGACGCACCTCTATCCTGCTTTCTGCCTGACTTCAGACTAAGTTCAATTTGATCCTCCTCAAACCTTTTCTTAAGCAGACAGCTGCTCTATTAGTTTTCAATCATTTTTTGACTAAAATAAAAAAAAATAAGTGCTGGCATTTTCCAAGGGCTGCCTTAAATCTAAAAAGGTTGAGAAGAACTGCTGTTGATTAAATGAATCCAAGATGCATAAGCTTGCACAAGCTTGCACACAGCTGCCTCTCTCATGATTACTAACACAGTGGGTGTAGCTAACTGTCTGCAAGGCAGGCCTCCATGGAATTAGCTTCTCCCTACTATTCCACCGAGTTACTAGTAGGTAACTTGCTTAATAAAAAGTTACACAAGGGAGAAGTAATTATGGCACTGTTATAACTTCACCAACCAGTAAAGGTTGTTGGAACAGAGAAAGCAACCTCAGTAGCTGGACATAACCATTTAGCACTGATCAGAAAAACGGAATCAACTGCACATGCCTCAGAGGAAATGGGACGAGCAACCACTGAGGAAGTTGGAGATTAGAAAAAAATCTCACATAACATGCAGAATCATGAGGCGGTTATAAAAAAAATTAAGTCAAAGAAGCTCATATTGCGACACCTAGTTTGTTTTTTTCCTCCCAACTAGCAATGATGCCTCCAAAAAACATAGGATTTCATCTTCTTGAAGAGTGGCTCACAGCAGGGTCAGTCAAAGCTAAATTATAAAAGAACATGACTCATTTATACCATGACTGGGGAGGAGGGAGGGGTCACCTGCTCTATGAATTGTGGGCCACTCAGCCTACAGGTACAAGTTGCCAAGAAGAAGAATGACATGAGGAACAGCATACCTCATCCTCAGCAAGGTACACAGCATCTATCCCAATGAGATCATACTCCCACAGCAGAAGCTACAAGGAGCTCGTAGACAACTACGTTGCTGCCCATGGGGTAGCCCAGTTTGTTTAGGAGTTTGACAGTTATAGTAAATTGGAATTTTTTTATTTCAACATTGAAATAGCAATTTGTTAAAGATTTCATCCTCTGTGCTTTGAATGAGGGAGTCAGAAGAGATGCAGATGAGCAACTTTAAACAAACAAGGCAGGACAAGTGACATATCCCAAAATAAATCAAACTGAGTAGATTCTTACTCTGTTACTACATTTTTGATCAGCTTGAGATCCCAAGTTAGGCACATAAATCTACCCGTAATGCTCAGTTCATTTGGCCCTGTGGGCCTGATCTGACACATGGGATCAGTCTGCAGGCTCAATCTAGCAGGTGGGGTCACGTCATTTGCCCAACAAGGCTTCCTATGGGTCCAGAAACTTGACAGCAGGACAAGTAGCAGCAAGACAAACAGTAGCAGCGTTAATTACTGTGGCTCCAGAAACCATGGCAATTAGTGCTCCCACCACTCCCCCACTGACAAATTACTGGACCTGGGGGCGAGGGAAGTTTAGAGGGGCAGGGAAATTGTGTGGGCTGGATCATATGGCTCCACGGGCCAAATCCAGCCTGCATCTTGGTCACCCCGGTCTATACCTGTGAAGTGAAAAACACTACTCAGGTTGTCATATGTACAAAGAGATTTGGTAATAAAGCTTCTGTAACCATTCCAGAGTCAAGAACATACAGTGCCTCTCTTACATCAGGCTGATCTCTTGCTCCACACAACAAACATTTTTATTTTCTAGTTCTGCTTTGAGGATGCCATCTTAGAAGTGCTATATAGGTCAAGATATACCTCTTACCTTGACATCCTGGAGAGAAGCCAGCTCAACCGCCTTCTGAGCCAAGGTTAGCAAGTTGGCCTCTTGAGAGACACGCCGTCTTCTCCGAGTGCTCTGAATGACACCACCTCTCACACCTGGAAAGTCACTCACTCTCTGTGTGCTTTCTTCACTTGTTGCCACCTGCTTCTCCTCATCCTTGCCATTCTGCGATGCAGCTGGTCTCTCTGTTTCAGGCTGGGTCATCTCACTGTTAAGCAGGGTCTCCTTCTGTCCAAGATCCATTCTTGTGGGCTGCAGATAGCTCCCCTTGTTGTGGCCCAGTATTTCATGGTGATGCTGCAGCTGGATCTCTTGCTGCTGCTGCTGGGATTGCCAGTGGTGCAGAAACAGATTGCTAGATTGTTCTGCCACTGGCTTAGAAGCCAATACTTCTCCTGCAGAGGATGTTGGCAAAATCCCTTCTTTGGAGAGTCTTCGTGACCTCCTTCGAAAGGACAACTGGGTCTGAGGTAGCACACTCTGTTGGTTCTGCTCTGTTAGAGCCTTGAACAGCTCCTGGTTTCTCTCAGTCTGCTGGAACTGGTGGGCCATCATATGATGCTGGGGTGCTGCTGCTGCCACGTGAGGCTGTGCTATGGAAGTAGCTTGCTGGAGGCTGAAGGCTTGTGTGGCAGCCTGTTGTTGCTGCTGTTGTGGATAGAAGTTTTCAAACAACTGCAACTGAGGAAGCTGTTTCTGCTGGGTGGTAAAGGTTGGGCCACAAGTTGGGGCTTCTTGAAAGACATGCAACAACTCAGGAAGACCTTGCTTCTGGCCTTGGTGACCAAATGCAAGCTGAAAAGGCTGTAAAGGTAGACTCTGACTCTGCTGCTGTTGCTGCTGCTGCTGCTTCTGCATCTGATGGAATGAATTAATTTGTGCTTGCTGCCTGACCAATGCTTGCTGTTCTAACTGAATTTTCTGGGACATCATCTGCTGGACAGCATCCTCATAAAGTTCGAGCTGGGAAACCACCACCCCTTTTTCCTGGTTTCTTTTCATGGAGCCAGGATGGCCATAGAACCCTGGGGCACCAGCGCTGGGGTGGGTGCCTTTCTGGTGACCCCCATAGGCCATGTTGTGGTTCCACATTGCAGGTGACGGCTGCCAACTGGAATCACACCTCTCTGGCAACCGGCTCCCAATCAAGGAGTTTTGCCATTTGACAGCAGTCACTGGCTGGGACATCATCATCGACTCCCCCCTATCTGGAGGATATACCGAGTTCATCAAGGCAACATTGTTGGGTGCACCAGGTAATACCCCTGCATTAGTAAATTCCATAGCTTGGGAGGTAGGTATATTTCCTCCATGTCCATAGTACTGTCCTTCCTTAAGCTGGTGCTGAAGTTCTTTTGACGGCACAGCTATATCCTGCTCATTAAAATAAGCAATCCGTTTCCCAGCCCTCTTGTTGGAAGACTTCTGTTGAGCTTGAAGATTCATGGTTCAGTTTTTCCCCCGTTAAAAACAGAATTACAGCACACCCATCTCCAAGTCGGGGGAGAACTGGCACCAAAAAGGCTCACTTTCTCAGTTCCAACGGTAACAGTTTATTACAAGTTCAGATGGAAGTGCCTCTCCCTGTGCTTTCCTTGTGTGCTTCTTCCCTCCCCTCTTACTATACTACGTCTATCCTTTCCAGTTCAGATGACAATGAAGTCCACTTAGTCACAGTGCCTGAAAGAAACAGAGAAACAAACTTCAGTGAGTCATCATCAGGATGGAGAACACCACAATGCCCAGAATCAGCAAACAGTAAAGTATATCCTCCCAAGGAAATCATGACCAGGGACAGCTGGTTGAGCAGGGATTTTTCTTCTTCTGTGAAGAGCAAAGTATGTGCACAAAAGTGTGTCGGAGGAGGAAAGGAAATCTGACCATCTAGAGTATTGCATTGATTTGTCTGAAATACATATCAGACATTTGTAGGACTAGAACAGCCACCACACACAGCTTTATTGATTTTAGCAATGATTGTTCAAATAGTCCTGAAGACTTCTCTTCTTTTGCCCCCTGATCATCCCCCACCACGCCAATAATTCTGGATTGTTGGCTGGGCAATTTGCTTTTAATGTAAGCACAGTGAAAAAAGTTTGCTGAAGCAAAGAGATGCAAACTGGCTCAGGGGTCCAGATCTCCTTAGGAGGTTAAACTAAAAAAAGATAAAGCACTAAGCTTCAGCCAAAACATGGAAGATGCTCCATTTAACACTGGCCAGGATAGAGATGTGTAGTGACCTTCCAGGCAAGAAATCCTCCAAACCAGGGTGTCCAACTGGTGGCCTGCAAGCTGCATATTGCCCCTGAAGAATTAGCATACAGTGCATGGGTTCCCATCCAACTGCCACCCCCCCACCTCAAGTGCCCCAACCAAGGCAACCAGGAGAGGGCTGAAGTGCCTAAGCTGCATGTGTGAAAAAGAAGGAAGCCACACTGCCCACACTGTAGGTGGGTGGCATGCACAACTGGGGAGGGGGTGGAAAGAGGGAAGCAGGGCTGGTCACCTCATGTGGTCCCTTAGCTAGAAGTTGGACAGCCCTGCTCTGAATGTTTACCAAGTGCCCTGACACTACAGAACAGCCTGCCCAATGTGCTCTAGTACTCGTGCTTTTTGCAGCAGTTGAAAACTAAACACTCCCACTCAGGGATTTCACACTTACTAGTGGTTTGCAAAGAGCATGGGAACAGCTTTAACCATCAAGCGCTGCTAATTCTATACTAGCAAATCAACACAGGAAAAGGATGCAAAGCCAAAATAAGAAGATTGGCCTCTAACATGCTTTGAGTCCAGCCCCCTGCCATCATAAGCAATCACAAACAGACATTTGTCCAGAAGGGTCCACAAGACGACCAATTCAGCCCCTGTCATATACTACTACAATTACAAAATGCCTCATAACTAACTGCATATTGTAAGAGGAAAAAACCCTGCAATATGCCACAGGAAGTGAGCAGGAGTAATGGGACACAATTTATGCCTTCTGCTCTCAGAATCCCAGGAAATTATTTCAGAAAAATCTGCCTAAAAAGATCCTAGGAAATGAACCATGTCCCATGCTGCACAAGAAGAAGGAAAAAGTCAGTCCTTGCCAATTTTACTTTGAGGGGAAAATTCCTTCTGGAATGCAAATTTGGCGCTTGACTTACTCCTGAGCACATAAGCAAGACCCACCCGTCAAACATCCAAGAGGTTTTTCAGTACCATTTAATAACAGTGGCACACTGCACGTTGTCACTCATCTCTAACTATGGATACTATCCAGTATTGCAGAGAACATTTAGAAAAAAGGGAAGTAAAGAGCCAAGTAACATCCCAGGAGGGAGAAAAGTTTCTTCCTGGCCCCTGCAGGCAACAAACAGATATCCCAAAGCATGGGATTAATACAAAAAATGTGTAGGCCATCTGCTTTTTAAAATTTGCACTTGATATTAGAGATTTGGCTAAGTATCTGTTTAATATTTTAAAACTTAATAAAATTAAAACAAATAGTTTCTAAATGAGGCAACCCAAGCATACATTATGCCACATCATCGTGTCTCACATTTTACAGAAGTATTTCAGATAAGTGCTTAAAAATCCACTAGCCCTATTATTTGCCTTTTTTCTACTTGTAAAGCCAAACTGTTCTAGTAACCCAAGCCTAACTCTCTAGATTTCATCATGATAGAAAATTGTAACTTTTGTAATCTCTAGGATTACCCAGAACAAGTCTTCTAAAAATAATAATACCATGCTTTTAGGATTATAAATTAAATCAATCAATCAATCAGGACTAAGCCCCTCAAAAGCTGAGAAGCTGCCCCTTCCAGCAAGATACAGCAACTATTTCTAGTTCTCATGGAGATTTTGGATCTTAAAACTCATCACTGGTTCAAGCCTGAATATTTTTAAATTTAAGATTCGTTAAAATAATTAAAGAAGTTCTTCTGTTTGTTTTCTTTTCCCTCCATCTTTTGAAATGGAATGGAAGAGACAAGAGAATCCTGCATCTGGAAGAATATACAATGTTTAATGGCATAAAAATTAAAAACTGCTTACACAGATCTGTATCACACAAAAACTCTAAAACCAAACATACGACCAAATGATGACTTGAGCAGCGTACTCTACAACACAAAACCAAAACCCAAGTCCACCCTTCCACTTGTTACTGACCTGTGCTAAAGATCGATATGTTTCATATTTATCTTTTCCCACAGCCTGGAAGACAATATGCAGAGTCTCTTGAGGTAAAAACATTCATTCACAGCCACTCTTGACAATACTTATTTCCTTCTTGTACAAAATCTTAATGACAGGCCACAAACTCATTCTATTATCTGGTAAGCCAAAACCTTCCTTTAATCATTCAGAGGAAATGACTGTTTATTGCAGCACTGCACTCAGTTTGAGTATCTGTATAACAAGAAAAAGTATCTCTACAGTTCAGGGCTCCCACCAATGAAAGTGACCTGGCTGTAGAAATAGAGAGGCAAATATAGACACAGACTAAGAGGTCAGACTGTAGTAATGTGAACTTAAGAGGTATGGATAGAAATCAGATGTGAGAATACACCTTTACAGGTTTAATGAAAGGAGAGACATTTCTAAACTCAAATCATACCCATTATAAAAGAGATGGCCCACAGGACAGGGGTTGCAAATTCCTGATGATTTAGGGAAGAAAGTAAAACCAATAGGACTCTCTTCTGAAAACTCTCATGAGATTTTTAAAATCCACACAAAAATAAATCGAGACATTGTTATTACTGTTATTGACTCCATCAAGACATGCAGTAAAAATTGTCTCTATTTAAAAAAGGGGTTAGGCAGAGGGATAGACCCAAATGAGAATCCTGTAACCTAAATCTCTTCAAACTTCACATGTCTGCAGGGCAAACTTTATTAGAGGGGGAAGGGAGGAAAGAGGCAAAAGGTTCATACAACTTATGCAACTTCCACCTCTGAGGCCAATTCACTGCGAGTGGAATCACAGGCCTGCTGTTTCAGCAAGGACTGACTCACTTCCTCGGCCTGTTGTATTGCTGTTCCACTCCCTCGCTCCCCCCGCCCTCGTCCTGGCTACAGGCGGTGGAACCCTGCCACCTAGCATCAGAGCGCCAAGGCGTTCCTTCCTCCACTAAAGTACAAACTCTCTCAGCTCATTTTCCAGTCCTCTTTGGACAGCACAAAAATAACTGCAGGAGTAACGAGAGACACGTGACATGGAAAAAACTCTTTTCAAAATGCTATCAGCATACAAACTAAGAAAGCATGCTCGATGCTACCCTACTTCAAGGGTGCACCAGGAGAGAAGAGCTGTACTCCACAAAATGAGACATGCTTTCAACTGGAACTTTGGCTGCAAACAGGAACAATTCACAGTTACTAGGTTGCAATAAGTCTCTGTGCATGAATATTATTTTCCCCTTTGCTTTTTACAGCAGTGCTATGAATTTAAATAGCAGTTAACAGCCTTACCACAAGGTATGAAGTAATGATAATAATAGTGCTATACTATTTTACCTTCTAAGCAGTTGTAAGTTGTGCTGGGGAGGGGAGAAAAATCTATTACATTACAGTTTTCCTTCCTTCATCCTTTTTGAATTCCTGCTGTACCGACTACTGGAATCTAACTCTACTAACCTGACACAAGAGAATGAATTCAGAGAACAAGACATTTCCATCAAACCAACTTTCCATCTACACATCTTAACTTTAAGATAGGTTCTTTCAGATCTCCTGTGCCTAGGTGGAGACAATAAGGAGGACTGTGTAAGAGCTAGCAGACAAAACAAAGTTGTAGTTTTCCAATTTACAGCTGATGCCAACATGAAGTGTAGTGAAGTCTCTTACTACTACAGTAAAAGCTGTGCTATCTGGCACTTTATTAACTGGCACGCTCTATTAACCGGCTTGTATAAAGTAGTGTTCAAAGTAAATGGTCTGTGCATATCAACAGGGTAAACCCAAGAATTAAGGCCTTTTAAAATAGGGATCTCAGACTTTCAAAGGCCTCCACTGATATAATGTTGAGTAACTCTCCAACCCTGGACCTTGGCTCCCTTATTCCATTATTAGATAAGGACTCCTATGCATTCAATGCAGTGCATGCAGTGGCATGCAGCTTGGAGATGTAGTTAGCTACAAAAAAGAAGCAACAGAAACATGAAAGCAACAGTTACAAAAGAAGATCAAAAGGGACCCAACAAAACGGAAAAGAACCTTGAGTCTTTCTGGTGGGTACAGAAGGGCCTAAAGGCATTTTTTCTGCTGAGTTCTCTTAGACACTTTTCTTTTCTACTCAAGAATGCTGGGAATTGAAAAATGAATGTAGTTATGACATCACAAAAATCAAAATATTGCAAAAACTGAGCCACTAAGTAGGGAAGCAGTTTCTTGGTCTATTTAACTTAAGACATTTTGGAAAAAGAGTATTTGCTAAAATTAAAATCTGATACTACTTCAGTTAAGTTATAAGATCTCATACAACAAAAGAGACCTCCAGAAAAGTTAAAAAGGAACTAGATTTAATGCTCCTCTTATTTCTGAAGCTAAACATGTTGCATAATCAGCCCTTCAGCTCTTCTTCATGTACACACATACAAAAACTCTGTGTGCTTTATCTTTAAAACTTCTGTTGCTTTATCTTTAAAATAAGAATACTTCATCATTTGAACAGAAGTGATCTATGTGCA